GCTAACTTTTTCTGAACACAACAATACAGTTTTTGGAGTTTGGAGATGTTATTTGCCAGGTTTTAACGAGCCTTAAGGTTTGAACATGAGTACAAATCTCAGAGTTATCAACTCTAAGCTATATAATCAACTTATTTTCAGCATGAATACATGACACACATACACTTAAAGCCACGTGGGGATAGATGAGAAAATGGCAGCTTTGTGGAGGAGCTCTGAGAGGAGTTAATCTGCAAGTGTGACTGTGGTCGGATTCTCAGGCTTAGTGCCTTAGTGTACTCCTACACAGCTTTCCTTGACCTCATGATGTTTTCCATCAAGGTCAGGAAGAGTGAGCAGCAAAGGAGATGGGAGGTCATTTTTGGACGTACCAAAGGTGTCTTCAGTCACAGGATTGTGTAGCAAAGCATCTCCAGTGTTTGCTGTAGTAAAACGCGTCTCTGCTGGAGGGTTTACTTGATTTGTCTTGTGATCTCAGTCACTGCATGAAGTTTCACCCATTTTTCTCTGCTGCTGTGTCCACATTCAAACGTTACAAGTTAGTTATGTTACACCTGTAAACTTAGAGGCTCGCGTCTTCAGTTCCTAACAGTGACTCTTGCTAATTCTTTGTGTGTCTAGGAGAGTTTGAGGAGGAGTCAAAGCAGCCACAGCTGTCTGAACAGCAGAAACACCAGCTCAAACACAGAGAACTCTTCCTGTCTCGACAGTTTGAATCTCTACCTGCCACTCACATACGGTAAGTGACTACCAGCCGAGCCTTATCACAGACCTGCAGTTTAGTTACAGCTCTGACAACAGCCATGTGCATGTGGCACTGATCTGCTGAGAAACGGTCCTGGCTGTAACCATTCTCACCCAGTGAAGGGGCGATAAAATCTGTCCCTGCACAGCACCATACATCACCGCTGCTGCCATCACTTATTCTTTCCTTTGCTTTTAAACATTTGCCCATCAGTTCTAGTTTGTATCGTTACCTAGTTTGCTGAAGATTACAGTGATCGTAGAGAAAGACAGTTTGAGCGTGGTCATTGGTGTCAAGGACTCCAGAGCAATGCTGTACTCTCTTGTTGAGCTATCAGCTTACTGTGACCCCTGAGGTGTTTCAGCCATGTGCTACTGAGAGGAGGGCCTGGACTTGGCCCAGGACACCAAGATCACACCTCTTGGCTGGTTTGGGAACACCTCTGTCTCTGCTTAGACTTCTACCTGAAACCTTGATCCAGACAGGCGATGAATGGATGCGTGTTATTCATATGTTGCACCTCGTTAAAAGTCAAAAATGATTTCAAGCAGCAAAAAAAGTTTTTGATTATGAGATGCGCAAATTATAATGATATAAAAAAAAAATTTAATCCCCTTTTTTGGGGACTGAATGTGGCAGGGATGTCATCAAACCAGATTTTTCCTTTTTTCTTTACTTACTGAGAAGATGCGTTTCACACTTTTGTCTTTGACATCCTCTCTGTGCTCTCCTCAGGGGAAAATGTAACGTGACCCTTCTCAACGAAACAGATGTCTTAGCCGGGTACCTGGAGAAAGAGGTAAACATGCCATCTGTTTATTTGTCACGTTACTTTGATACTTAATTGTTCGCTTAGATATTTCATATTGCAAAGAGAGTGGCACCGTGAAGTGGCTCTAACCTTTGCTCTGTTCTGTCCAGGACTGTTTCTTCTACTCGCTCGTATTCGACCCTGTCCAGAAGACCCTGCTAGCAGATCAAGGCGAGATTCGGGTGGGCTCCAAATACCAGGCAGAGATTCCTGATAAGCTAGCTGAGGGTGAGCAGCAAGCGTATTCAAGTTGTTTTAATACGTTTACATTATTTATTTTGAGGAGGTGTTGGTGTATTAGTAGTTCAAGCCATTTGTCCCCGTCTCAGGTGAATCAGACACCCGGGTCCAAGAGAAGCTGGAGACCAAGGTGTGGGATCCCAACAACCAGCTCAAAGATCCTCAGATCGACCAGTTCCTGGTGGTAGCGAGGTAA